CCCCCGCCCCTCCCCTTCTCCTCAGGAACCTTCTGCATCATATCACTGTGCACCTGTGTGGCCGGGATCAACTTCGAGCTGTCACGCTACCCCCGCTACCTGTATGGACTCCCCGATGACATCAGCCATGGCTACGGATGGTCCATGTTCTGCGCGTGGGGGGGCCTGGGCCTCACCCTCATCTCGGGGTTCTTCTGTACCTTGGCCCCCTCTGTGCAACCTGTCCCGAGGACCAACTGCCCCAAATCCAGACCCGAGAACGGGACAGTGTGCTAAAAAACAAACCCATACATATATATATATATAAATATATATATAATATACATATATAAAACAAAACTAAATCCCGATGAGGCCAGTGCCAAGGCAGAGTGGAGGTGGCCCAGGCACCGCATCTCGTCGGACTCTGTGTGTGTTGCCTCATCGCCGAGATGGGGAAGGCGTTCCCACCACGTGGCTCTTCCATCCATTCTTAACTTTTGGCTCCATGGTTCCTTGAGGACAGAGTGAACGTCACTGCTCCCCATCACTCCCGAGGACGGGGTGGTGGGCTGGGAAGGGACGGTGCCGGTGGGCTGGAGTGGCACAGATGTAGGGAAGGAAATGCCACCTGCTGGGCCAGTCACCCCCAACACCGATCATATCAGAGAAGCAGCACCCTTAGTCACAGAATGTCACCAACCCTCTGAGGCCCTGGCAGAGCCTGGGCTGGTTTCCTCCCAGCCCACCAGCGACGCACAGGAGTGCAGGAGAAAAATGAAACAAGAGGGACGCCTTCTCTTGGCTGCCACACTGTTGGACAGAGCTCTAGAGGTGGAAAGGGGGAGAGAACAGCCTGCTGAGGGGCAAGACCTGCGTCAAGGAAGGGACACTCAGCGGATGCTCAGAAAACCCAGTCTCACCTTCCAGCTGCCTTACGCCCAGTCCAGCAAGAGGCCGCCCCGCCCCAGCCCCACCTGCACTCCCCGGGCAGATCGGAGCCCTGGAGCGATGCTGTGATGTGTGTGTGTGTGAGTGTGTGTATGTGTGTGTGACTACTCTGGGTGGTTCCCTTTTCCCCTTTTCAAATGGAAATACCGCATTCTGTCTGTCTATCCGCTGGGGTGGTTTCGTGGCCCCACACCGAGGCCCCGAGGCGCCAGTTCTGCAGCTTCTGGTCCCTGGAGTGTGTGCGTGTGGTGGGTGTTTGCTGAGTGTGAGTTTTATCGTGTGTGTTGCATTTTTCTATTCTTTTTAGTGCAGCTGAAATTCCCAGAGGGCAGAACCAAGAACGCCACCCCTGGGCTGAGGACCCCGTGTTTCTTCACGTCCATCGTTCTGGGACCCCACGGGCTCTAGTCCTCTCGTTTCAGAATTCACGACTCAGCTGGGCACAGGAGTCATGAGCGAGAGGGGGACACGGTTCAGGAGGGAGAAGGGATGCGGCCTCCGCTGCTGTCCTACAAGTCTGTCCACCAAACAAGACCTGTTCCTCCCCATCGTGGAAGCTGTCCTTCGTCACTGGACGTCTACCCCTTCCCTAGAGGTGACTTCTGTACAGATGAAAGAAAATGGGTCACATGCGGAGAGAGCACCTCCGTGTCCCATGGGCTCAAGTTTGTATGATATTGTGTAAATTAACAGAGAACTCTTGACTTCCCCTTCTTCCTTCCCCTCTCGACAGGCAAGGCCATGAATCCCCAAACAGCCGTCATAGTGGCCAGCACCCAAACAGAGGTGGCCCAAATCCAGCCCGGTGTCTCGGGCTCATTCGAGCAACTTGGCCCACTGCAGGTGATGGGCCCACAGGTTCAGCTGTAGGGGCAGGAGTCTGGTGGAGAGAGTGGGCGGGAGCAGCTGGCAGCCACCTCGGTGACCCTGCTGGGGATGGACAGCCCTGGGGAGGCAGGGAGAGAGTCCCCGAGCTCTACAGTCGTGGTCAGCTGTGTAGCCGAGAGTTCAGTGGCTTCAGAAATGAAAATGCTTTGGGAACTTGGCCACCCACCCAGCAGCCCTCCTCCCCACCCTTGCGCTCTGTTTCATCTGTCTCCCTCCGCCTTTTCTCACCTGCTGACCACTGAGCACCTGCCTCTGCCACCCGCCAGGCTGCCAGGCTGCCAGGCTGCCAGTCCTGCCGCCTCATCTGCTCTTTTTGACCGCGTGTGTGAACTCACATCCGGATAGGACGTCCGGTGCGCGTGAATGGGCCTGGACGGGGGTCTCTGGGTGTGTGTATCTCTCAGTGCATTGTGTGTGTGTGTGTGTGTGTGCCAGTGTGTACCTGGACGCAGTGTGGGTGTACTCTTCAAGACTTCCTTGCCAGCGACACCGGTCAGCTTCTGCAAAAGGTCCCGCGTGTGAGTGCCCTGGATGTGGGTGTGCTGGGCAGTGAGGGGCGAGGGGCGTGGCGGGAAATGCTGTTCGCGTTCAACTCAGCTTCTAAGGATTATTTCTAAAACAGAGCATTCATTCTGCGAGAAGGGAGATAAATTTCAGGAAAACCTAGCCTTCAGTTGTACAGGGAACTGTTTAAAAGTTTTCTTTGAAAAGTCAGATTCCCCTCTCAAAGGGAAGGGCACACTGGGGTGAGGAAAAGTGAGGAGTATCTCGATTTCGAGGCCTTCGTCTTTCTTCTAAGTGTCTTGAATGGGCTCCGCGGAGTAGAGAACCGCAGGTGTCCATGAGTGTCTGTTTGGGGCAGGGGGCTTGTGTGTGACCCGACCCAAATTCCAGCTGTTTTCCAGTTCCAGGAAAATGGGGAAAGAATCCTAAATGGGACAGTTTGCTCTCAATCATTTAAACTTTTCTTTAGTAACCATGTTTGGGGATGCTGCCTCACAGACCTATTGTTAGTTACACCTTCCTTTTTCATGCCATGCTTGCCAAAAATAGATCACCCACCCTCCCCAAGCACTAATCTTTATGATAGACCATTGACACAGCTTACTGCATCCCTGTGAAACCTCCCTGAAATGTTAGGAGGCCTCCCGGGAAAGAAGTGAGCCCTCTGCGCTCAATGCCATCAGCAGGGTAGGAGCTTGGAGCTGCTGTTTTTGTTAATGGGGCCAGATAGTTACAGACACACACACTCTGGGGTCTGATCCCGCTTGGGACCCAGAGCATGCCCAGCCCCGTGGCCAGGATGGAAGCCCAAGTCCTGGCCAGTGGGAGATCTTAGGTGACCCTGATCCCTTCAGCATAGGAGCTGGAGCCCAGGTGAACACGAAGCTTCCTGGTGGGAGGTGGCTGAGGAAGGAGGGGGGCCTTGACCGTAAGACTCTTTAAGTCAGATTCTGCTAACTCCATATCAGTGTAGGACCCAACCTTCTGAGGGATTTAGGGTCAGCATCCTCTCTAAAGCCCCCAGCCCCTACTCCAGGTCAAGTTCAAGGTCTATGACCTTGTATGTGTTTTGAGCTCCATACATGTCAACCTGGAGCACGGGGGCCATTTCGTCTTTTCTTTCCTTCCTTACCCTGTGAGATTGAGGATTTAGGAAGGTGGGGTATCTGCCTGGAAGAAGGTCCTATTTCTTTCTCTCCCCTTTTTCGGAGTTATGGTTTCCTCTTTTATATTCCCTTTTCCTCTCTCCATTCACTCCTGCTTTCCTTCTGCATCAACACTGGTCAGTTAAAACAGTTAAGGAGTTTGTCTCTAGAGGCTCCTACACTCCAAGCAGCCCCTATCCTTGTTCATTGTGACTCTACAAGGTTTTATAAGGAGGTCTGTGGCTCCTGGGCATCAAAATATAAAGAAAATTTAAAATGTGCCTGTTCCAGCTTCACCCCCAGCCTTTCAACAACTCTACCCTCTCAACTTCAGGGATCATGAAGTCACAAAGGCCCAACAACTCCACCAAGTCAAGACCACACATCCATACGCAGCACCCTGGCCCTGGTGGCCCTTTGGTACATCCTCTTGCTGGGGGAAAGGCAGAAAGCAGCCCAGGACTCTGAGACTGGACCCTGTATTTATCCACAGTCATAAGAGGCCTGAAATGAAATCATCGCCTTTATTTGCTGAGTTAGTCGGAGGCTCTGCGGCTTCGGTCTCCGAAGCTGCCCACTTGAGTCAGATTCAGAAAAATGAAATCCAGAGACATCTAGAATGGACTCTGTCTTCACCTGGCTTATACTGGGAGCACCAATCAACTATTTTCAAGTATCTTGGGAGATGGAGTGGGAAGAAGTGCGCTCTGGTCATCTATGGTGTGGTTTGTGAGGGATGCTTGGTTGATTCTTGTAGCTAAGGTGAAGCCAGCTTTCTCTGCCCCAGGGACCAACCATCCCAGTGGACTCACCCAGCCCTTCCCAAAAAGATGAGTCGTAGTGAGCCGTGGTTTCATCGCAGATAAAAATATTTGGTGCATACCAGCCAGGTTGGCTTCTGTGCTGTCTTCCAGCTGGCACGTAATTAAGGGGGACAGATTTTTAAACAAGCCCACCTGAGCTGATGGGCATAAAAGATTCTGGTGTCTCTCAAAGCAGTCAACTTGGTGGGCTGTTTGCTCTCTTTCCGTTGATGCCGCCATGGTGCAAAATGTTTCTTAAACATCATTGTTAGTTCTTAGACTCCATTATTATTGGCTCTTTGACTTTTTTTTCCCCTAAATAGTACATGCTCGTTGTAGAAAATTAGAAAAATGAAAAGATTGTTCATAAGTCCAATCTCTCTGAGGCGTCACGAGGGTCATAGCCCTGACATGTCCCGGTTGGNTCTCTGAGGCGTCACGAGGGTCATAGCCCTGACATGTCCCAGTTGATGGTTGTGTTGGTTTGGAAATTGGGGCCAGGAGGACAGTCCATGGTAGTGAACTGCGTGGAGTTGACCTTGTTCATGGCAGCAGGAGCACAGGGCTCTGAGCCCCCAAGGACAGCAAAGAGGCCTTTGGAAAGCTCAACGCCAGAGCTTAGCGCCAGGCTTGGGACAGAGCTGAACGTTTCCTACTTTGGAATTTTTGTTTTCCTTTTGTTTTTTTGAGGGCCATCTCAGTCTAATTCTAGGTGTAAGAGCCCCGAAGCTGGAGCAGCTCACTAATGAAGCGACACCCGCATAACCCAGCTCCTGTAAACTTCATTTCAGCTCCGCACTAAGATGCTGTGGGCCTCTGGGCACTGTGTCTTCTCCATACTTGAACTTCCTCATGCACAAAGTGAGGACAGTGATAACACTTTACCTCATGGCATACTAAGGGTGACAAAGACATTGCAAACACGAAGTAGCACATGAATTAGGCATTGTTCAAATTACTCGGCGGCGGCAGGGGCCCACTCGCTGCTGAAAGGATAGCCTAGGGGTGAT